CAACGTTTAAATTTAAGTGTTTAAAAATGAACCCGTACTTTTAGTAGTCTATCAAGTACTCACCACCTCAATGTCTTGGTGGTATTTGCCAAGTTTGTCTCTACTTTTACTACCTACATTACATGTTATCTAGTATTTTATACCATATTAGCTTCACACTACGGCGAATGAGGTTTGGAGCTTCTCCTCAGTGCTTGACATACTGTTGTACTGCGTTACTCTGAAATCAACATTAAATCAAACCGTTTTAGTAGACCATAAATTTCTCTGTCAAGTTTGCCTCCTTAGCAGCACTATATCGTGCCAAAACTCCGGCGATGAAATCATCAACATGACGTCAATGACACGTGAATCCACCTCATCTTGTCCTACTCCTGTTGGCCCAGTGTGCGTTTGTGTGGCTTGGCTTCGCGGCCCCCGGCTAGGGGTCGTTGTAATACTACGTTACTTTTAGGGGGGATACAAATATTATGGTGTCCCAATAGCATCAGGACCATCATTCAAGCCCGCGTAGGACCCTGTAATATTAATACCCCTGGGTACAAATATCATAGGGTCTCTATGGACTCCAATTTTTGACCCCCCCCCCTATAAAAGTTACGTAGTATTTGAACGACCCCCTACAGCCGCCTACAGCCCCCGACTAGACCTCCGCCTCCTCCGTCTACGCCTCGGGGTCCCACGCTGCCGGGGAGAAGCGATAAGAGCCGGGATGTGACCTTGCCTTCCCTTCCAGGGCGCAAGGCCCACACGCGCGCCAGGCGAGGCCGGGGCCCCAGGGGGGGAGGCCACCGCACCAGGCCTCGCGCGACCACACAGGGCCGCCCGGGGGTCCCCGCCCCAGCGTCTGCTCGAGAATAGAAGCCTCTGGAGGCCTCGCGTGAAGCGGCGCACCAGCACCGGCTTGCGTGGGGTCGGGCGAGGCGCACTGCGGTGCGAGAGAGGCACGCCGTGATGTTTGTATCCCGGGGTCGGGGCCCGGGGTACGGTAAACTCCCGTGATGGTTTTGCACGCCGTCAAACAGGGTGGTCGATTTTATTTTGCTCATACATACTGTACCGCATGCAGCCGTGCGGGCGGGCGGGCTTGCCTACCGTTGCTCACCACGGCGCCTATGGCCCCGTGCGAGTACGCAACCCGCGCGCACGATTGCATGCGGTGCAGTATAAGCAAAGTAAAGGGAGGTGTCTGTGACTGTCCTGTATTTTTACACCGTTCCCCACCCACCCGGTGGTTCCGGTGCGCGGCCCAGCCCTCACCACTGATGCCAGTGTAAAGGCGTGCATTTATTTATTGTTCTAAGCTTTCCTCTCCCGGCTTCTTCTCGTGTGGGGAACGCGTACGCTCGGTCCGCTCGCGCTCGCTGCTGGAGCGGCGGCGGTCCGTGCGGGGAAGTCAAGCAGGCGGGCGATAGGCGTGGCGGAGCGGGGCGGAGCAGGGCGATAGCGCAGATAAGTAGTACCAGCCGGGCGTAGCCGGGCGTAGCGCTGAGGCGTATGCGGGGGGGTCCCTGCGCCGGAACACCTCGAACAAGGCCTTGCTTTGTGTGGGGCACGGCGGGGCCCGGCCGATGGTCTCTGTGTGGTCTTCCCCCCTCCTCGCCAGCTCGGTCGTGGACTTGTTGTGCTGCTCGGAGCTGCCCCCCCCCCCCTCGCGTCTACGGCGCCCAGACCTCCAAGTCTACGTGCCCGTGTCTGAGTGTGCGTTACACAAACAGAGGCCGGCGCCGGGTCGACGGCCGGCACGGCCACACACTTCTTACACTTGGTCAAAACCCGCCCACATACGACGTCGTCGGACCGACGCCGACGGGAGCCCAACGGTTAAACCGACGTCCATCGCAAGTCGAACCGGCTATCGCCTTCGCTAGAGTCTAGCCACCGCGACCGCGGGCACCGTGGGTATTTACTTATGAGGAAGTGTGGGGTGCACAGCCCCGGGGGGAGGGGGAGCGCGGCAAAGAAAAAGGAACATGAGCAGGGCAAGGCCGGGGGGAGAGAGGAGGGGGGCTCCCTCCGACTGCGACGGAACTGACGAACAGACGTCAGTTTGCGTGGAGCGATGGAACGACGCGGACGAGGCTGCGTGCCGCGGTGGTGGTGCGTGGTGACGGTGACGGCCGCGCTGCTGGCGCTGGCGGGGTCGACGGCGGCCTCGGAGCCCGGGTCGGACGCCGCGCCGCCGGCCGACTCCGCGGAGTGGGAGTCGCTGGTGGGGGGCGCGCGCCCCGCGCAGGACGAGGACGACGTGATGCTCGCTGACGAGGCCGCCACCACAGACGACGCGCTCTGGAACGCGCTGGTGGCGGCGCCGGGGACGGCGTCGACGGCGGCCGCGGATGCCGGCACCGTGACCGAGGTCAGCGACAGCAGCGACATCCCGACGCCCGCCCCCGCGCGAGCCGGCCCCCGCGCCGCGGCCTCGGCGCCGGCCTCCGCCGCGGACGCAGTGTCGCTGGCCTTCGTCTTCGACTCGACGGGGTCCATGTGGAGGGACCTGGAGCAGCTCAAGCGGGGCGCCGCCGCCATCCTGGAGGCCATGCTGGCCAGGCCGGACAAGCCCATCTACGACTACGTGTTCGTTCCCTTCAACGACCCCAGTGAGTGCGACTGACCGGAGGTGGTGCTGTCTCCGGGAGAGGGGGGGGGGGGTGGACGTGCGAGTAGCTCCTGCCTTGTCGCTGTCCTCCGCTTCGCGGCGCTCACCTCTTGTGCGGTCTTGCAGATGTGGGGCCCGCGACCGTGACGACGAGTGCAGACGTCTTTAGGGCCCAGATGGAGGCGGTCCAGGTGCGGGGCGGCGGCGACTGCCCAGAGCCCTCGCTCGAGGCCATCCTCCAGGCGCTCAAGCGAGTCCGCCCCAACTCGTACGTTTACGTGTTCACGGACGCATCGGCCAAGGATCACTTTCTTTTGCCTGAAGTACTGTCCTTGGTTCAACGGAAGCAGACACAGGTAGAAAAGTGCAGCTGTAGTAGTATTTGAACTGACTTGAACAAGTTTAGATTAGATACTTTTATTCTTACCTTTGTTGGATTTTAGGTCGTGTTTGTGATGACTGGAAATTGTAAAGATAGCAACACTCCCCGTTATCAGTCCATGGAAAATATAGCAGTGGCGAGTTCTGGCCAGATTTATCACATCAACAAAGCTGAAGTTGAAGACGTTAGTAAAAAGCCATTTGTTTTACAGCAAGATTATTTTTTGCAATTTGCTTGTAATTTAGATCTCATCTCAGTATCAATAGATGTCATAATATTTTCTGTTTCTAGGTTCTGAGTTTTGTCCAGCAAACACTTGATTCACAGAAGGTGAACCTAGTGTCAGTAGATTTACCAGAAGCAGCCAAAAAAGAGCATGCAGTGCAGGTTGATGAAACAATTAGAGAATTTACTGTCTCAGTTTCAGGGGTAAATCCCCATATTTCTGTTGTTAATCCTGATGGAGTAAGGATTGATCAACCGCCTGCCCTACAAAATATTCTTGATCTGGATAATGTTAAGGTACAAATAAACAATAAGTTACTTTCGTGCATTTTAAAAGTTAGCTCTGCCAACAGCAAGACCCACAGATATATCATTTATTTTTTTATTTTTAATGTATATAGGTTGTTGTTGTAAATAAACCATTGCCTGGATCATGGACTGTGGAAACCTCCAGCGACTCAAAGCATGCTGTGCGTCTGACAGGAATTAGTGTTGTTGATTTTTCTTATGGTTTCTCTGTGCTTGAGACAGATCGTCTTAATGAAACTTACCACAGGCCTTTGCAAGGTACTAGCTTTGATGCTTAATTATTTTTTTTAACAAATTGACATTAACTGTCATGTAATTTCTGTTGTTATATACCTTAACTCAATTTAGATGCTCCAAATTTCATTCTGGTTGGTGGAACCGATATGGGTAGTGTGTGGAACCTTACATCTGTTGACCTTCTTGATATTGACGGATCAACTTTACAAACTATTCCTCTGTCTCCATTGGGTGCTCTAGATGGTCTCTACCGTGGAGGCCAATTTATACCACCTGGTGGAGATCAATTATTTTACCTTGCGGTAGGTACCTGGTCAGAAGAATTCTTGTGATGTGTACTTGTGCTTCTTTAAAAATTGAAATTTTTTTTTCATTTAGAACTTTGGTTATGGGAAAGATGGCTCCCCAATCAAGAGAATAACACCTACAGCCATAAGTGCTCAAAGTGGAGGTACAAAATATAAAATATGATACCTTGCTACTTTGGTTTTGTTTTGAACTGGTACTACAGAAACTAAAACCTATTTTTTCTGTTTCAAAACTTTCAGGTTTGCCTGTGATTCAGCTTCAGGCCGAGCCAAGAGTGTGGCTAAATGATACACTGACACTTCGCTGCCAGATTGATTCACTAATACCTTTTAGTGCTTGGTTTTCTAAAAATAGGATACCTATATCTAAGAAACAAAAGTACCAGTAAGTTTTAATTATTTTTTTCTAGTTTTGTTCCCTGTTATAAAAAAAGAAACAAATTTGTTCAATCATATTGGGTAACAGTAGTTTTTTAGATTACCATTATTTTACCTTATTTTCATTTTCTCTTTTAGGCAGACGGCACTCATGACAATGAGAATAGACAGCTTAACCGAGGAAATGGGTGGAGATTATGTGTGTCACGCCAGCAATGTTCAAGGTTTCAGCAAAGATGTAGCCCATGTGACTGTGTCAGGACCTCCACCTGAAGTCATTACAGATACTCAAATACTTGTTCAACCTAATCATCCGGCAGTACTTGACTGCCATGTAAGGAGCAGACTCAAATTCAATATGACTTGGACTCGTGTTAATACCCAATATTCCAATGGTGAGATCATTTTGGTTTAGAAGAACTTGAATGTTTCATAATGCTGCTTGATAATGTAACGCTATAATTTTTACAGATGCTGAACTTGTTGATAATAATGCAAGGTACATCATTTTGTCAAACTCATCTCTGGTTATTGACCCAGCTATGCCAGAAGATACCGGTCTTTTCTCATGCACTGCAGTAAACCAGGGTGAGATATAGAGGATACTAATAACAGTGATGGCTTGAAATTGTTCAGTGGAAACTAGCTGGGATATGCATTATCATTACTGTGTTTTCTAGGAGGAAAAGGCGAAAGCAGAATAAATTTGCTTGTTAGTGATCCTCTGAAAGTGACTGTGCATCCAAGAATAACAAAATTTCAACGTGGGAACTCATTTACAATCACTTGTGATGCTAACTCGCTGCCTACAGAATTTTATTGGGAGCACGATGGACACATACTTGAGGTAACCCTTATCCATCTCCTTTTTTAAAACATCTGGAATTTTATTTTTTCTTTCCTTTTTAAAATACCTTTTTGATAATTTCAGAGAGGAAGAATGGGACATGTAATTATAGAAGCTGTTGGTCTCAGTCTAATTCTTCGTGTTACAAATGCCCAATTAACTGATCAGGGTGTATTCAGATGTGTAGCAATGAATAGCAGAGAGTCTGGTAATCATAACTTCTCATATTAACCATCATCACCTTGTCTTTCTGCACCCTGTCAGCAAACGACTTTTACATTTTTTTTCCAGTGGAGGAAGATGCTGAAACTTACTATGAAGAGATTCCATCTGTTATGATTAGAAACAGTTCTGATATGGTTAGGGCCGGTGACAATGTACTTCTTCACTGTGTAGCAAATGGAATTCCAAGGCCTAAAATGAGATGGCTCTGGCAAGGATTGGATGTGAAATTGCTATCAACGAATTCTGAGGTTTGTCATTTCATATTTTTTGACAAAATATATTTCTTTATTGCCTCTGTTGTTAAATTAAAATTCCTTCATGTGCCACTAGATGCTTGACAATGGAGACTTAATGATTTATGATATTAAGCCAGAGAACACTGGTCAGTTTGACTGTGTAGCTCATAATACTGTTGGAGAAGTGAAAGACTCAGTCAATATTACTGTTGGATACCCTCCTAAGATTGTGACAAAACCATCTTGTAAGTAAAAACAACAGAAGGATAAATTAAGGCATGGTAAAACTTTTTGTAAGCAATTTGTCTTTATCTTTGTATGTTGTCATTTACATGCCAATATTCTCTTGGTCACACAGCTACATTGATTGAAATTCAGAGCTCTGGTTCTTTATCATGCAATGGATCTGGAGTTCCTGATCCAGTGATTCATTGGGAGCGACTTGACGGGAAATTATTGGATTCCAGGAGAGTTCAGCAAGATATGTCATCAGGATCACTTATCTTCTCAGGTGAGAAAAAGTGAGTCAAGTGTGTAGAGTTCCAAGATAGATTAAAAATTTTGTTTAGTTTTTTAATTACCATATTGGCTTTTAGAACCTGTTCTGATTTTCTGGTCCTTTTAAAATGTTGCTAGGGGTTGAAATTGATGATGGAGGTGTTTACATTTGTGTTCTGGAAAACCAATATGGACAACTTGTCCTGGAAGGGGAAGTATTGGTTACTGGCATTGGTAAGTTCATCCTGGAATCAATTTTTCTTTGTAAATTGTTCTTTACCCTTAATTAAACTGTTTTCTGCATTACTTCAGTTGCACCTGCTTTTGATAAACATGAATCAATTGAACAAAATTTTACGTCTTCTGTTGGAAGAGAAATTATTCTGTCATGTCCGATTTCGGAAGGGAACCCTCCTCCTCTAATTGCCTGGTATAAAGATGGTAATCTCATTGATGCAGATGCCAATTTAGGTGGAATATATATTCAGGTGTGTGTTGGCATAATGAGTACCTTTACTGTGCTACTACTTATTACCTTCTTTTTTAAAGAAAACTGATCAAATTTTCAGATGAATGGATCACTGAAATTAAGTGAGGCAAACCCCAAACATTCGGGAAACTATAAATGTGAAGCTACAAATGTAGGTGGATCCATATCACGGTACATTTTCCTCACTGTTATGGGTAAGTTTCAAATCAAACGCACACAATTTTTAATGCCTCTTAATCTACTTTCTTAATGTTTGGTTGGGCTCTGCTTTCAGATCCCCCATTTCTGGAGAGCCCAGATTTACTGAACTTGACTGAAAAAGTTGGCAACAATGTTCTTCTGCCTTGCATTGCGTACGGAACACCTTCACCAGAGATTCAGTGGCTTCAGGGTGACAATAGCCCCATCGCACTTACTGAGAGAATGTAAGATTGCCCATTGGTTTTAAATATTTTAACGTAAGTTTGCATCAGTTTGATGATTTGCCTATAGAGCTTCTGCATTGTTGCAGACTTTTAAACAGTGTTCAATACTTTTTAATTCCAGATTCAGAACTTATGAAGGTCTCGTGATGACTGAAATTCAGTTGAGTGATGCCGGAACATACACATGCAAAGCTCTTAATCCGGTGGGGTCAGTCAACAGGAGTATTTATCTTGTTGTTCAAGGTAATAGGTCTGACAAAGATACTTACCTACATATTGACTTGAATTTGTGACTAACTATGTTTTTTACTTTCAGATCCTCCACACATTGTTGGTGAATCAGTCATGGAACTTGTTGCTAATGTGGGTGATGTTGTACGTCTACCATGTGATGCCACTGGTGAACCATCTCCTGAATTTATTTGGTCACATAATTATGATTATCTTACTTTCAATGATCATATGTAAGACTTTTGACATTTCTTATGCTTTTCTATAGTGATGTATGTTTGTTATAAGTAACTATTTTAATTCCATCTTTTCTAGTCTTCCAGGTACAAACAGTGATGGTTTGGTGATAACTTCTGTAAACATTTCTGATGGAGGTGAATATTTGTGCTCTGCTGTGAATGATGCTGGCTCTGCTAATAAAACTATAACTATCACCGTTCAAGGTAAATATGCATCTAAACCGAGCCTTTCAGTTGTCCTAACTGCCTCGAAAATATTTTAATTTTATTTCTTCTTTTTAGAACACCCGTCAATTGAAATTGTCGGGCCCTTACAGGTGACTGTTACTGCTGGCCAGTCAGCTAAGCTGTCCTGTAAAGCCAGGGGTACGCCTCAACCAAGAATAGCATGGACATTTAAAGGTCAGCCTTTTGTGGTTGAAGATACAGAGTAAGTGCTTTCAAAAATATTAAAAATTACATTCTCCCCCCTGTGAACAATAGTTTTTTGTTTTTTTTTACTTTTAATACTTCTTCAATCTTTCCAGGGAGTCAGAGAGTGGGAACACTATTCTCAGTTTAACAGATTTACAGGAGAGTGATTCTGGATCTTATGTATGCACAGCTTACAATCTAGCTGGATCTGATTCAAAAACTGTAAAGCTGTTTGTTCAAGGTATTGTGATGCAAAATCAGCTCATATTCCGTATATGTATTTCTATCTATCTTTAATTTGGTTTTGATCTTGGTTTGCTGTTTTTAGTAAAGCCCTCTATTGAGCCATGGCAAGAGAAATTCAAAATTATGGAAGGGCAAGAGTTGGTCTTGGACTGTTTGATGCATGGAAATCCACCTCCAAAAGGAACCTGGCTGAAAGATGGGGTAGTAATCTCTTCAAATGGTACCACTGATAACTCAGTGCAGTACAGGTATGTATGTTTCAATCGACGACTTAGTTTTGAGCATAACTAGAATCTCAGTCATTTTTTGCTTGATATGTAGGATTTCTGCAAAACTTTCTGATGCTGGAAATTATGAATGTGAAGCAGAAAATGAAATTGGAAATTCTACCAGAGCTCTGGAAGTTACTGTCTTAGGCAAGTTATTATTGTTATTGAAATGGCATGTCAGTGTCAGTGTGTATGTTTAGGATCATCACTATAACATCTTGCTTTGGTCTATTGCAGCACCTCCTCGGATAAAGGCCCCTCATAATATTTCTATTGTTGCTATAAGTGGGGAAGATGTTATGCTGGACTGTGTGGAAGACAAATTTCAGGGATTTCCCTTTCCTGAAATTACCTGGACAATCAATGGAAATCCCATCAATTTCACACAGCTCAGGTATGTCAAAATCTTTAAATACCTGCCCGTCAAATCATTTGAGCTTTGTTTCATAAATGACCTTTTTTACAGCTCTGACACAGACAGTCTTGGGCATTTTTATTTCCAAAGAATATTACCATCACAATCAGGTCAATATGTCTGCCAGGTATCAAATGAAGCTGGAAATGGTTCAAGAATATTCAACATTTTTGTCCAAGGCAAGAAATATTAAAATGTTGATTGCTGCTCCTTTTGGTGCAATATTTGAAAATAATAAAAGCAATGATACCTGTTAAATTTAATTATTGTATTTCTCATTTTTTATAGAAACCCCTTCAATCCAGGAGGAATTTCTTGAGAAAAAGACTTTAATGGAGGGGGAAGACTTATCCCTTCCTTGCACCTCCAGTGGAATTCCAACCCCTAAAATAACTTGGTTGTTCAATAACAAATCATTGAATTTTAAAGAAGATTATGGTATGCTATATCAGAAAGTATTTATTTCTCTATCATTTTATGTACAAGTTTAAAGTTTCCATTTTATAAAATTCTGTACAACCTTTCAGTTGACCTCTTGATGATGAATGACAATACACTTGTAATTATATCGGCCCAGGCAAATATCTCTGGTGTGTTTACATGTGTTGCTAGGAATGAAGTAGGTGAAGACATGCAACAAACATCTATCGAAGTATATGGTATGTGGATGCTTTTCCTTATTGATGATGTGAGTGTGTCAAAGTGATGCGACAGCAACTTCACTTTTTTTTCAAATTTTAGTTCCACCTTCTATGACGGGCAATGGAATCATACACAAGGAAGTAAATGAAGGTGATAATGTTATATTAACATGCCCATCTTCTGATGCCTCTGAAATTGCCTGGAGTCAGGTAATCATTGCTGTTCATTATTTATTTTTTTGTCTTTACACTATAAGACACAGTATACACACTAGACTTTTAAAAATGTTTTCAAGGATGGGGAGCCTATTAACTTTTTGGCCAACGAACGGTCTGATGAAGCGCATTTCAAGTTGCTTGATGGCGGAAAAACACTTGAAATATTTGAATCGCGCTCAACAGACAATGGAACCTATACTTGCACTGCATCAAATCCAGTCGGAAGCAAGACAGCAACATTTTTTTTGGAGGTGCTGTGGGCACCGTTTTTTGAGGAATTTGGAGTAGGCAAGAAAAACTTCACTGTTGTGGAAGGGAACAATATTACCTTCGATTGTTTGAGCAATGGGAGCCCCACACCTAAGGTAATAGCATCTATTTGTAGTTTTATCCTCAATAATCAACTTAGGTGTTGGTGTTTCTTTTGTTATCAATAATAATGAGGAAAAAAATTGCAGGTTATTTGGAAATTTAATGAAACCCTACCTGTGACGGAGCATACATCTCCAGGTGTTGTAATTTTGCCATCCAGCCGCCACCTACTCACAATTCCAGTAGTTAGAGCCCATCATGACGGAATATACAAATGCAAAGCTATCAACAGACTAGGCTTCATCAACAAACAATTTGCTCTTCATGTCATAGGTTTGCACAATCTTACTTCCTTGAAAGAGCTTTTTAATGTGTTATGACTTTGAACCTCTTATTTGAAAATCTTTTTATGTTCTTCAGTACCACCATACGTGGATTCTGAAAAAGAAGATAATTACGAGGTTTTAAGAGGAGAAAGTGTGACATTGGTGTGCCCTGTCTCTGGTTCACCAAAGCCAGTGTTCCTTTGGGACTACCCATCCAACTTTAACCCACATTTCGAGTGGTATGTGTCATAATGTTTCCATACAAAGATAAAATATCTATTTGCTACAGTTTACCAGCAAACATGCATGTTGATTAAAAAATATTATTTTGCTTTAGGTCCAACAAGAAAGTTGAGTTCCTGAATCATTCTCAAATAATGGTGATTCATGATGTAGACTTTTCTGACGGAGGTGTCTTTATGTGCAATGGTAGTAATCAAGCTGGCTTCAAACTCAACTACTTCAACATTTCCATTACAGGTACGAGTACAGTACTCATGTGTTACTATTGTTTCTGTATCTCATAAAAATTATAAATTTTGATATAGTATGTATGATACATGTTTCTGGAATCGCTTGAAATCCATTTAATAAAATGTTGCTTGATGCTCTGTTTTTAATTTTGTTGCTGCTTTGCTTCACCTGCTTTTAGGTCTACAGAAAATCTCCTCAGCATCAGGTAAGTACTTTTTTGGTTGAACCAACTTTGGGAAAAAGAAAAATCAGAATGGTTAGGCTTCTGTTAATCTTTTATGTTATTGCCTGAACCCATCTTCCATGTTTTGAATTTCAGAAGCACCTGTTATTCTCGACACTTCTGTAGAAGAAGATTTAAATGTCGTGAAAGGAGCTACCTTACTGCTGCAGTGCAATGTCCGTGGTCAGCCTTTACCAGATGTACAATGGACCCACAATGGTCACATGATTTCCAGCGACAGAACAACAGAGCGCTTTGATCTGGATACTTCCTCTGTAAGTCAAACACTCAGCATAGATTTCTCCGGTGCAAAGGACAGTGGGAAATATGTTTGCCATGCTACCAATACTCGAGGTACTGCAGAAAAAGTTTATCGTGTTCGATTCCAAGGTAAAAATCTTAGTAAAGCTTACTAAATTTGAAGATTTCATATTACATGTTTAAGCATCCTCCCTTTTTCGTTTTTAATTCCCAGTTGCACCTCAAATTGATGGTCGAGTCCAATACTCCATTGAACATGTCAATGCACTGTACGGCCTACCCTTCAGCTTGCACTGTTTGTCTATCGGAGAACCTTCTCCATCGATTACTTGGCTTAAAGATGGGCTGCCTCTCATCAAAAATATAGATTACCTAATAGGTGGTGGCCATGGGGAAATCCTACATTTCAAGCACTCTCATCAGCAGCAGTCTGGGAATTATACATGTGAAGCAAAGAACAGTGCAGGTTCTGTTTCGAAGAGTTTCATTCTTGATGTTCTAAGTAAGTGCCAATTGATATGTTTCATTTCCTGTGTTTTGATGTTGTTTCTGAGCCATTGTTCTTGTGTCGCCAGTTCCTCCTTTCCATCCAAATAACACCGAGGAGATAAAGGAAAGTGTGCTGCTTCATGACTCTCTAAGCTTACAGTGTGACTTCAGGGGGAACCCAGACCCTAAGCTGTTGTGGATGAAAGGTATTGAGCCGATATCATCCAGCACTTCTAAAGGGCTGCAACTGTCGGGTGACAACCACACATTGGTAAAGGAAATGCACTCAATATTGCATAAGCACCCTATGGTACCCTTTGGAACTTGCCTAATTTTTGATTATTCTTTTTCTGGAAATAAGGTAATAACTTCAGCTGAACTTAATCACTCTGGAAGGTATTCATGTTTGGGCACCAATGAAGCTGGTTCTGCAGAACTTATGTTCCATGTCAAAGTCTTGGGTGAGAATACTGTTTATCTATAAAATGCAATCAGCTTGTAGGAAGTGCACTTGACTGTATTATTCAACTTTTACCTCCTTAATCAGAGTTTCCTCACCGAAATGAGGCTATCACCAGAAACTTCACCACTTTTACTGTAAAGCCCTTGCGAAGAGTCATGTTATTGTGTGCCATGATGGGATCTCCTTCTCCTAGCCTTACTTGGTTCAAGGTAAAGATCTCTTACTTCAAAGCTGTTTTACATCTTTTCCTTTTATTTTTTTTCTTTAAACATCTCATAATATAACAACATGTAATCTTTGATCAGGATGATTCTTTGCTGGATGGTAACAGTCTCAATGGCAGTATTCAGATCTCTTCAGATGGCAGGCAACTACACATCTTGAGTGCCTTACAATATCACGAAGGACTTTATAAATGCAATGCAAAGAATGATGTTGGTTCAAGTGATGCATTTTTCCAACTGAAAATGGATGGTAAAGTGTCCTGAGAAATACAAAACTTCTTATTTTAAAAGTTATGAAAATTTAAAATTTACTAAGTGACCTGCTTATTTTTAGCAAAGGGAGACTGGGGTGACTGGTCAGACTGGAGTATGTGTAGTGTATCTTGTGGTTTTGGGACTCAAGAACGTAATCGTGAGTGCCTCACATTCAACTGTCTTGGAGAGGTATTTGAAACAAGACCATGTTTCATGTCACATTGTCCTGTAAGTAATATTTGTGTACTGGTTATAGTATCAGGAGAATTTATAGAAAAATAATCAGCCCTTGTGGTTTTTTGGAAAAGAATTAATTTAATTTTATATCTAAATAGATTAATGGTGGTTGGAGTAACTGGACAGAATGGAGTGGTTGTGTCCAGACCTGTGGACTTGAATTGCAGAACCGCACCCGAGAGTGCAACAACCCTGAACCGATGTATGGTGGATTTCTCTGTGAGGGAGAAGTCAGCCAAAGTCAAATTTGTGACTTACCGCCTTGCCCAGTCGATGGAAAATGGTATATTTTTCCTACCCATTTTTTTTCTACAAAAATATAATAAAATGAAAACAATAAATAATGTTTTCTTTAAATGGTGTTTGCAGGTCACTTTGGTCTGATTGGAGCAAGTGCAGTGTTACTTGTGGTGCAGGGTTACAGACTCGTTGGAGGCAATGCAATAATCCCACTCCAGCTCATGGTGGATTAGAGTGTAAAGGGGTCGACACTGATGTGAGCAGTTGCAATGATGGTCCATGTATGGGTGAGCAAAACTAATGTAATTTGAACTGTTTCAAATATAGAAGTGTACTAAACTTCATATGTGGAAACTCTTAGGTGCTTGGTCAGAATGGTCTGACTGGACACCGTGTTCTGCTACATGTGGTCCGGGAAGAAGACACCGACGCCGAGAGTGTGCTTCTCAGTGGTCTGACTGCATTGGCGACAATAAACAGGTGTTGCTTATTGTTGTTTAGAGATGTCATGTAAATAGAATTACTAAGTGTTTTCCTGAATGTCTCAATTTTTTTCTCTATTTCCAGTATGAGTACTGTAAGCTTAGGCGTTGCCCTGGAGAGGGGCCAAGAAAGGCAAATCTTCATATTCGTGGAAACTTAAATGGATATGATTTAAGGGATGACATTCTCATTGTCGATCTGAAAGGAGATGATAAAATCAAACGGGGACTGGTCTCAACAAGGCTTCATAATGTTCAGAAACGAGAGGTAAGTTGATAAAATTTAGGTAGCGAGTGTGTCTAATTCTGAAAAATGTATTTGTTCTATTATCTGATTAGGTACCTTTGGAACCAATAGTTCCCCTATTAGTCTCACCAGTCTCTTGGAATGTCGCCTATGAAGATAACGATGCAAGAAATGGCTACTCTTTAACGAAGGGAATTTTCAACCAGGATTCTCAAATTCAATTTGCTACAGGTATTATGTGCGGTCATCTTCATTCACTTCTATGTTTCTTAAGTTTTATCAATTAATTTATTTAAATGATTTCTGTTACTCTAGGTGAAGAAGTGAAAATTAAACACATTGGTCATGGTGTAGATGAATCTGGTCAACTGAAGGTAGATATTGAAGTGATTGGTGAGGTACCCTATGTACAGCCACAAGCAACTATAGTCATTCAACCCTTCTCAGGTACTTTTTAATTTTTTTTAAATTTTTTATACAATTATCTTTTTAGGTATAAAAGAACCTAGCAAACTCTCAGTAGTAAAAGTAATAAACAATTTCTTGTCTTTTCAGAAAACTTTGTTAAAACTGGTTTACATAGTCTACACGTTGCATCAGAAGGTGGATTGTCTGCTGATGGAAATTATATTCCATATACCTTGAACAGCACTGTCTTGTATCAGCATAATAATGAACCAATGCCGTAAGTGACCAAATAAAGTAAAGTACCAGTTAAATTTAATTGCCGTGAAAAGTAGATTCATAAATTTTATTGAAAGTTGTATTTGATTGAAAAATATATAAATGAAAAACCATTGTGATCTTCTCCTTAGATTTTTGTCAGAAAAAATGTCAACTGATTACATTGAATCAAATTATGATCCAAATCTACAAGAGATGCAGTACTCTATCTCAACTGTTATTTCACAAACCTTTGATGAAGACAAATGTCCTGAGGGCTTTAAGCTCAATGCAGAGCATAAGCATTGTGAAGGTTTGATATCTGCATACTTTTCTCTATCCTCTTAGTTTTCTGTTTGAAAACTATATTTTTTTTCTTTTGTGGTCCCTTTAATCAATTTTATTTCTGCAGATATTGATGAGTGTTTGTCCGGGTCAAAATGTCACTCTACACAGCTGTGTGAAAACCTGCTGGGATCATACCGCTGTTCCTGTCCTGTTGGCTTCAAAGCCTTAGCCATTGGGTCACGATGCCTAGGTTTGAATTATTATCAGTCCGATGAAGTCTTTTACTGTTAATAATTATCAAATAATTTATCATTTACTTTCAGATGTGAATGAATGTCTTCAAGAGCCTCCATTGTGCTCTAATGATTGTCGAAACATACCTGGAAGTTATCTATGCATCTGTCCTCCAGGGACGTTCCTGCTGGAAGATAGACATTCCTGTTCCTGTATGTTCCATCTCAAAGTCATTCTAAAAAGGGGGGTATTTGTGGCTGGTTAATAATTTGCTCTTAATTTTTTGGGGTCCTTAGCATCTCCATACTGGGATGACCCGGATGACACGTATGGAGTCTCTGATGTAAATGGAGAAGAGAATAGATCTGAGGAAAACCCACTCTCTGCTCGTAAACATGTAATTGATGACGATTTCCCATATCCACAAGAACATCGCCAAGCAGAAGAGGAGTGGTCTTGCCCTCAAGGTCTTGTATGGAGAAATGGCTTGTGTCTCGGTACGTTCACAAATTCATCCAATACTATTCTAAAATCATGTCACAATATCCAATCCATCTGACTGTGTATTTCTCAATTGTTTCCAGATCAAGATGAGTGCTTGGAAGATCCCTACATCTGTGGTGAAGACGAAACATGCTTAAACATGTTTAAGACATTCAAATGCATGCACACACCTTGTGGTAGGGGCTACAAGAGAGATACAATTACCAGGTAAAGGACTGATTATATTTTGGTTGAGTTGCAATTTTATAGCAGATGATGTAAAACCAGGGAAAATTATGACTGGGGTTCTTCCTTCTGCTGCAGGGACTGCCTGGCTTCGTGCAGCGCAGACCTCCCCTGCCCCAGCGGCGCCACCTACGCAGAGAGGAAGGTGTTTATTCCAGTGACTGTAGCGGGTGAGGGTAACGAACCAGGAGCGGAGCTCGTCCACTTGTCCGTCTCTCATAGTCTCATTGCCCAGTTTAAGAAAACTTCTCACACAAAGTATTACTTTGGCAACAACAAAGGTACGTTCTGGTGAATTGGTGAAATACTTTTGTTTTCCTATCTATTGGGTTCAGTTTCCTTACATCCTATTTTATTTTGCAGGAAAAGTGGTGCAGTTAAGGCAAGATAGTGATAAATGCATACTTCATATTTCAAAGAAGCTTAAGGCTGGAAAAATTTACAGGTAAAGTTGGACTCCAATAACTTATTTATTTTAATCCATTCAGAGGCTTGTCTTATGTGCAAATACTCTCTCTTTCAGAGTTGAAGTTCGTGGTGACACTTTCTCCGATAAAAATTTCTACAAAATTTAACTTATATATCCATGTTTTAAACCATAGTTTTTAAGCCACAAATGAATGAAAGCGAATGTATTACATCTTGTCTTGGTAGCTATTGCCGTTGATACATTGTAGCTTCTTTCAGTTTAGCTGTTAAGTTTTATATGATGACTAAACTTTGAAGATTTTATGGATGTAATGTGTCTGGATATTCGGTGTATTTATTTATTTATCATAGCATTTGTATTTCATAGTACTTCCTCACGCAATTATTACCCAAAATACATTTTTACACTGTGAATATTTAAATTTGTTCCTGTAAACGTAAGTAAAAATAAATAAATCGGAATTGCATGGCAATTTTATTTTTTAACTTGATTTGTCGTTTCTTTATCCTTACCACTTTTGTCCACCACTGCGTGAATTGGAGTGTGCCACACGCCACGACACGGCCAGCGAGACGCACTTGAGGACGGTCAGGACACCAGGGTCGGTATCTGACGGGCGTCGGCGACGGGCAGGGGCTCGGCCAGGGCTTCCATCCTGGGCACTTGCCCCTTGCACTCGGAGACGAAGGCCCTGAAGATGGCGTTCTTGAGCGCGAGGGCCTTGCGCAGGCGCGCCTGCTCCGACAGCAGCTGCAGCACTTGGTGCTGGTGCTCGCTCTGCGCGCGCTGCGACACCGCCTGCTCGGGCACGGCCAGGGCGGCGAGCGCGCGCGCCGCGGGCTCGGCGTCGGACAGGTCCGAGGACGCGCTGTCGACGGGCCCCGCCTGCCCCGCCTGCACCGCCTGCCCCGCGGGCTCCGCGGGCCCCGCGGCGTCCCCGGCCGGCGGCGTCCTGGCCGGGCAGCCCACGGGGCAGCCCATCTGCTCCTGGATCCAGCGCACCATCTGCACGGTGGCCTCCTGGTGGTGCTTGCCGTGCAGGCGCCACACGGCGCGCCGGTGGCAGTAGCGCGTGCGGCGGTGGTGCCAGATGGGGCGCGCGCCGACGCGCGGGTAGCGCCGGTCGCTGCTGCTGCTGCCGCCGCCGTCCTCCGTGGACGACGACGTGCCCGTCCCCGAGTCCCCGCGGTGGCCGCCGCTGCCGACGCCGCCGCCGCCGCCCGCCCGGATCAGGTTCTTGAGCGCGCGCACCTCCTCGTTGTACTGGCTGAACGCGGTCCTCGTCCCCCTGGCGGCCGGCCCCCGCGCGGCCGCGGCCACCGTGCTGCCCTCGTTCATGTTGCGCGTCGGCGTGTTCTTGATGTGCTTTGCGCGGCTCGCATACCTGCACACCGCGTAACACAACTCCGTATGAACCAAATGGTAAAACAATTCTAAATTTAATTTGAAAATGATTTTTTAAAATTTTAGTCTATAAATTCTCAAGGCAGTGGCAAAGTGCCCCTACACCGTGTGCCTGGTCTGGCCGGGTCGACCCCGACCGGTACCTGACCTCAGCGTCATGAGGCTCTCGTCGTAGTTGTAGCTGGCGGGGCCGATGTTGGCGATCATGATGGCCTTGGAGTTGCCGCCGAGCGAGTCCTGCAGCAGCTGCGTCAGCTTCGAGTCCCGGTAGGGGATGTGCCTGGACAGCGGCGCGTTGAGCGGTCAGCCCGTGTCAGCCCCTGCCAGCGCGCGCGTAGGCAGAGCCGGCGGGCGCGGCGGCTGAGCGCGCGGCCTATGCCCCGGCCGTCGGGCGCCCACCTGCTGCCCCACGAGCGGCCGTCCGTCGCCGTGAGGGCCGAGATGACGTTGCCCAGCGCCGACAGCGACAGGTTGATTTTGCCCGACTCCTTGAGCCGGTCGCCCATGGCGCCCGTCTTGCACTGGCGCTCGCTGCCGGCCAGGTCCACGAGGTTCAGCTTGCCCACCCGCGTGCCCGTCCGCGACTGGGGGACAAATTTTGTTTTCCAGCTCGTACTTTGAAATTTAAGTTGTAGATAGATGAATGCGGGAGAATGTTGTTCTTTCTTAGGGATTTCAATTTTCACACACACAAAAAAAATAATTTTGGAAAAAAATTCCGGATTT